GGGTGATCTATCGCGGAGCCCCACAATAAGTCACCCCAAAGAGGGAGGCTCAGGCTACCGGGCCGGCGGCACTGCGGCGGGTGGGCGGGGCCTCCCTCTGTGGGGTGATCAATCTGGGGGCCCTGTGATTGATCACCCCACAGAGGAAGGCCCAGGCCACCAGCCAGTGACACTGTGGCAAGTTGCAGGGCCAGCCAGTGATCGCCTCGCAGAGGGTGGCCCAGGCCAGCCAAGCCATCACACCCCATGCCTGTCGGCCGCAGAGAGAGGCAACCGATGGCGGAGGAGGGGGGCAGCGCCGCACAGATGGCAAGCAGTGGCAGCAGCAGGGGTGGGTCCAGCTGCCAGCACCTGGGAGAAGGAAAGGCCCAGGGTGATAGGCCCTGATTGCCAGCCAGGCCTAGGGACCCTACCTGAGGGGTCCCAGATTGCGAGAGGGCGCAGGCCAGGCTGTAGGACACACAATACACACACACACACACACACACACACACACACACACACACACACACTGTACACAAATTTTGTGCACCAAGCCTCTAGTTTTTAAATAAGAAAAAAAATTTTTTAAGTCAAGTTATGAAGATAAATGTGTTCCATATATTCTGTGCATATTATTGATACTTCATGGTCAGAAAGGGGGGTATCTCATTTCTAGTTCCTTCAGGCAATTATTTGAAAAACGGAAGGAACTATGGCAACTTTCTCACTTTGCTCACTCCCCTCAATACATCTTAGGAACCTCTGATTACTCAGAGAGACTGGCATTAGAACCTGGAGCCCCAACAGTTCAATAACATTCTTTTATATACTGGGTGTACTGGTTAATAATGCAGATTTTTTTCAATAGATGGAGTTACACATATGTTGATATATATGCGATTTGATATATATGCTATTTTGTTGTATTGACAGCAAGAAAACTTCATATGGCAAATTTTCTGAAGGTGTTAACATCATAGATATTTTTACGCTTAAAAATGTTGAATTTCGTGCCAAAAAAAAGAGCATTTGCGGGAAGTTTTAATTCATTACTTTATTTTGAAGAAAAGTGCCGCTGAAAGCTTCAGGAAGCTTATAGTGAACATACTCCATCTCCAGATACTTGTGAACGCTGGTTTAAACGCTTTAAAAGTAATGATTTTGATGTGAAAGACAACATCCAGGTCAACCGAAAAAGTTTGAAGGCCAACAATTACAAGCATTATTGGATGAAAATGCATATCAAACTTAAAAACAAGTTGTAAAAAAGATTAAAGTTGCTCAGCAAACAATTTCCGATTTTTTACAAGCAATGGGAAAGATTTTAAAGGAAGGAAAATGGGTGCCACATCAACTGAATGAAAGACAAATGAAAAACCAAAAAAACATTAGTAAAATATTGGTTTAACGGCACTAAAGTAAGTCTTTTTTGCCTCAAATTGTGACTGGTGATGAAAAGTGGAATTATTTTGAGAATTCCAAACGCACAAAATCATGGGTTGGTCCAGGTCAACCATTAACATTGATTGCAAGGCCTAATCACTTCGGAAAGAAGACAATGCTCTGCGTTTGATGGGATCAGGAAGGTGTGGTGTATTATGAGCTTCTAAAACCAGTTGAAACCATTAATACTGATGGCTACCAACAACAAATCATCAATTTGAACCACGCTTTGATTGTGAAACGACCAGAATGTGCCAGAAGACATGGCAAAGTAATTTTACTTTATGATAACCCACCATCACACACTTCAAAACCAGTTAAAGACACGTTAAAAGATCTTGCCTGGGAAGTATTAACCCACCCATTGTATTCACCATACCTTGCTCCTTCAGATTACCACTTGTTCCAATCGATGGCACACGCACTTTCTGAGCAGCACTTCAAAACATACGAACAAGTGGAAAATTGGGTCTTTGAATGGTTTGCCTCAAAACAAGAAAAGTTCTATTGGGACGGTATCCACAAATTACCTGAAAGATGGGGCAAATGTATAGCTAGCAATGGACATTACTTTGAATAAAGCACTTTTGATGTTTCTCTTGAAATTATTGTGTTTTCTTTGACTACAAAATCTGCATTATTAACCGGTACACCTGGTATTTCTTATACTTAAATTTTAAGATTAATAAAATGTCATGCTCTATCAATAATTAGCTTCATGAAGTTTTACTTTGATGCTTTCGGGGAAAGATGTTTTGTTTTATTTTTAGGGGTTTGCCATTTCAGTTTTGGAACATAATACTGAAAATGACAAACAGCATGTCCTGTTTTACAATTTAGTTCCTAGTGTTGTGTTTTCCCATTACATAAAAAATATGATTTGTTGTTTTGCCACTTAAAATGTATAAATTATTTTTCTTATTCAATGTAGAGTATTTTTTGTTAGTTTTTGTTTTAAGAACTGGTTTGTCCCTCCTGTTGTGCTTTGCCAAATTAAGGGTGTCTGGAAATGTTATCCAAGAGTAATTTTCAATACAGGCTTAGGTGGACGAAAAGCTTAGTCATGTATGTTAATCATTCTTTTGTTTTTATTCTTCACTTGGTTTAAACTTTTTCACTTTTAATGTGTCATCCTTTGCTAGGTATCTAAAATAATGTGCTATAATATGAGCTAGCAAGAATAATTATGAAAATTCAAAATTACCATAAAATTCTAAAGAGGGCTCTGTTGTTATGGTGGATGGTAAAGTGTAGAAAAAATTATGGCAGGTATAAAGATTACAGGGCAAGTATGTGTTATCTGAAATAATTTATTGGTTGTTTTACTGTATTTTTAATGTACTTTTTATTGTTGATAGTATTACAGATATCTCCC